TACACAGCAAGTTAGACTACTTTGCAAGAATCTGTCAAAAAAAAAAAAAAAAAAAAAAATATCATGAAACGACTACAATCTTCACTCTACCAGATTAGGCCTCAAGAATACAAAGATGAATTAAGATACAATCTGTTCTCAAGAAACTCCCATACTAGGAGATAAAACAACAACAAAAACAACACTAGAATACTGTGTGACAAGTACTATAAATGTGAAGCATACACAAAATGCTATGGAATTATAGATAAGGAAACTATTCTTGATTTTAGAGTGGTTAAGAATGACTACAAAGTAGAAGAGGTTATGAGTTAGGCATTATTAGAGAAGTACTTTCCCTGGTATATAAACAAAAAGAGAAAATGGCATACAGGCAAATGAAACAATAAGAAGACCGAAGACACAGAAGAACATATGTGATAGATTCAAGAATGGAATTAGTACTATAAAGTACAATGTACTAGACACAAAGAAGCTCAAAAAAAGCCTCAAGAAACTTCAAAACATAAAATATATATATTTTTAAAATCTCCCTAACTTAAGACTTATTGGTGGGACAGCAGTTTGAATTAGTGCTTACAGCACAAAGAAGTTAAATCCAACTTCAGGTTCCAATGTTCAAGCAAAGAAAATGAACAGGTGATTCGAGTATCTTTCCTCCTCATCAAAATACTGCAACCAGGGAAGGGAGAAATGAGGCTTAGAGCTATTTTTCAATCATTTATACCATTACCAAAAGTTACTGGGAGAAATTCTCTCTGCAAAGAACAAGGATAAAAGAAAAATGACAAACTTACAATGAACTTAACTGTTTATATTTTACTTAACATCAAAAGTAATAAAAGCTATATTATCAGTATTTTGTTACTGTTAAGGTTCTGTTCCAACAATTATTACCTGCTTTATCAAAAAAACTGCTTTTCAACCTTGAATCCAAATCTTTATGGGGTTTATCCAACCGTTTTTCACGTTCATGATAAGTTAGGTCTCTATTTTTCTCCTTTCCAGAAAATGTCTCTTTGCTGTTTTCTCTTACTAGACTAAAATCTTTCCGTATCGATTTAAAGACAGAAACCTGATCAAATTGTTTAGGAAAGTCTTTTTTTAATTTATTTTGAATTTGTATTTCAGTTTCATTGTCTGATTCATGCTGTGTGACTCTTCTCTCTACTTCCAAGCTATCATCAGTGTGAATTGAAGAAACAAGATTCTCTTTTGAACTAAAATCCTGTTCATCCTCATTGTCACTACCAACGACAGGAATTCCTGCAAGATCCCCAGAGTTCAAAAAATAATCATCTTCATCCAGCAATGAATTTTCAGATCCTGTTTGATTCGGCATTCCATAAGACATGCTGTCAAGGGTAGGAGTTAGGTTGTGGTCTATATCTTCAGACATTTCTGTATCCATGATACCACCACCTTAAAAAGTAAAATACTGTTTAGACAAATGATAGTGCTAAAGATGACCACAATTATAAGGTCTGTCTGGTATTTAACCAAATATATTTTTCTTTTCAAATAAAATATTGATAATATCATTATAGAACTCATTTAACATTTTGATATAGGTGTGACAGAAATGACTAACCCCTAGCTGACAGTTAAGGAAATGGGGAGCCAAGATTTGAAAAACTTCAGGTTAGAAAGGAAAACAAGGTGATATGGAGAAAAGAGCACCAGTCTCAGAATCAGATGTATCTATGGTGAAAGCAAAGCACAACCCTTAAAATCAATGATTCTAAGGAGGAAATTCTTAAGAATCTACATGTAAAACTGCATAATACTCACCTTAGAGATTAATTTGTGGTGAGGATTAGTGATAGTCATGTGTAAAGGGCCTATTAAAACAGTGGCCAAAACACAGAAGGTGATTTTAAAGTGATATTCTGGGTAGCTGAGCCTAAATACTCAACTGTAATAGAACCTATATCAGTCCCATTTTCTCTGCACTAACTCCACAACAAACTGAAAGCAGTTAATGTTTAAAATAGCATTTAAAGAAAAATAAAATTTAGCCATCCTAAATTTTTTTGAAAAACTGCTTACAGTTCTAACTATATGTTAAAGTCTTCCCCACTCCAAAATAAAGAAAATTTCAAGCCCTAGTATAGTTTTTCTCTCTCCTTCACAAATCTGTAAAAAGAACAAATTTACACTTTTTTCTCTATTTGACCCCCCAATGATTAGTCCTTTGAACTTAACTAATATAATCAGCCCCAACTTCCCATTGAAACTATTCATTAACAACATCAGAGTCTAGTCAAATTGATTTTTTTCAATCCTTATGTGGCACCATCCTTCCAGGTAAAATTTCTTTGATTTCTGTGGCACTAGATTTCTTCCTACCTTTGTTACTGGCCTATTATTTTACAATTCATTTTCACTACTAATGATTTCAGTATCAGTATTTCACCAAGATTCTAGTGCTTTCATTTCATATTCATACTAAACTATTTTAGTGATGCACAGCCATGACATGTGCTACTGATGTTCTTATCACTTTAGCTTAGACCTTTTGTTCAAGATTTAAATATCTACACTGAACCTCTTATATCTCTATTGAGACATATTGTAGATCTGTAGGGAATCTCAATTTAAAATCTCTTAAATCAAACTCGTCAACCCCACTCCAAACATATACATCTTCTATTTTCTTCAATTAATTAGTACATTCACCAAAGCAGCAGTTGCTGACAGAAAAAAACAATAATTCCAATTTTGAGAAATGCCATTGACTGTACTGCTTAATCTCTCAATTCCATCTCTTTTACTACAGCATCTTAACTCTAATACTCCAGGCAGGGGCTTATGTTGTTGAGCTATATCCCTGGCCCTAACTCTAATACTTCAAATATCTTTCTGTACTCCTGCAGTATCTTCAACAATGCACTAAATCCATATATTTAGGAAACAAATATATTCTTACAAGCTCTATGCCCAAACTATATTTAACAAGTCCACAAGAAGGCAAACTGGACCTTCTTAATAATGAAGCAAGGAATGAAAATACCAGTGGTACTGGAATCATTTTTAATCTGCTCCAAAAGCTCAGATAAATGTTCATATGATGGGTTTTTCAACTCTTGCAGAGATGCTATGCTCCAATAAATTCTTCTTTTGTTTAAGTTATTTGTAACTAAGTCCTAATTATAGGGTCCACATGAACAAGTTCCTCAAATTGTCCTCTCCATGGAGACACCAATATTATCTTTCTAAAAACATAAGTCAGGGAAGTGTGGCGGTGTATGCCTGTAATCCCGGCACTTGTGGACTGAAGGAAAACAATTAGCATTGAGCTCAAGGTCAGCCTGAACTACACAGACCCTGTCTCAAAAGAAAAAAGAAAAATCTGTATTATTTCCTCCAGGGATATCAAACAATAGCTCCTCAATGCCTAAACTACTGGCTCATTCATTCAGCATGCATTCTGCAGTACTGTCTTGGGCACTATGGATGAAATGAAAAAAAAAAAAAAAAAAAAAAGGTAACAATGTCTATTTCTCTGGAGCTAGAAAAAAGACTGCAACAGAAAAATTAGAAACAGTGCAGTGATAAGCAAATAAAAATCTGAATTTGTATGATGCCACAGGGAGGGAGAAGGATCTTTCTCTTTAAAAAATAAAAAAGAAAAGAAAAATGCTTAATAATAAATGTGGGGGCTGGTGAGATGGCTCAGTGGTCTAGAGCACCTACTTAGAACAAGCTAAGCTAAGCAAAACACAAGGACTGCGGTTCAATCCCCAGCACCACATGCCAGCCAGCCCCGCCCCCTGGTGGGCTGAGCTGGCCACACACACACAAATAAATAAAAAAAATAAATAAAAAAAAGAGTACATTTAAAAATAATAATAATAAATGTGGATAAAAGAATAGACAGAATAATCGTTCTTCTCTACTTTCTAAAACACAGGAAAACATAAAAATAGAAGCTGATCTTGGAGGATGTGCCATGTGTGGTACTACATGCCTGTAATTCTGACACTCCAGAGGCTTGGGCAGGAGGAGCTCAAGTTCAAGACCACCTTGAGCAACTCAGCAACTTAGTGAGATCCTGTATCATATTTTTAAAAAACTTTCCAGGGGATAGGAGTTGGAGACGTAGGCATTCAATACCCAGCATAGGAGTTGCGTAGGGAAGAACAAAGCAAAAATCTTCTTAAAATGTCTTACAGGGGGGCTGGGGAGATAGCTTGGTGGTCTAAGCACCTGCCTGGCAAGTGCAATGACCTGAGTTTGACCCCTGGTACCAAAACCAGGCATGGTGGCACACGCCTGTAATTCTAGCACGGGAGAGGCTAAGACAGGAGGATCACTATGAGTCCAACCTGCATAGCTAGACCCTATACCAAAAGAATAAATAAAAGTGTAAACATAAAGTATCTTACAGGTGAAACATTTTTCTCAAACTATACTAGAGAAGCAGGGAGGGAAGAAGGGAAGAGTATGGCATTACAAACACTGTCTTATTTCAATTATTCCTTTTATTTGAAAATTCTCCTAATGAGAGAAGGGTTAAAATATAAATACAGAAGCAGAATGTAAACATGTAAACACACACACACGCAGGTATGTAGCCCTACCAGGATGTTAGCACTCAGAAGTAAGGGTTGGCGCCTCTCCTATTCAATGTTTTACCCTTACAAGCAAGCCACATAGAAAATGCTCTGCAATTGTTTCATCTTGCATAGTGAGCAGTTTAAGTTATTTAGATTTAAAAAAAAAAAGTAATACTGTATGCAACCTTTCATATCTCTACATTTAAATTCAGGATAGACTACCACAAGACAGAGATAGTCACCAAGAAATACTATATCTTAATTTATACTAAAATAACTTCTACATCTATATATAAACAATTTTTAAAAATTTAAGCCATGCAAAATTTAAATTAATTTTACTGGTACACCATCCATATATGTTATGATCACATGTATCATAGGGAATTTGTACCTGTACATAATATCTTAATTCTTTTTTCGCCATATTACTCCCCTTCTATCCTTATTCTCCCATCTATAAAAGCTTTTTTTCCATTTTTATTTTTCTTCTTTTTCCCTTCCCTTCTTCCACCCCTCCTCGTTCTCTTTCTCATTTGAACATTTTTCCCATTTCCCAATACCTATTCTATATTTTGTTCCTTACTTACCCTTTCTCTTATAAATATACAAGAGAAACAAATCAATGTTTACACATATGTCTGATTTACTTCACTTAAAGAGTATGGTCTCAAGGTTCATCCATTTACATAGAAATGTCTTGTTTATCCTTCTTTATGGCAGAATAGTTATTTTTTTTAGAAGCTATTTTGTAAGCCATAAAGAACAAGCCTTTCTGACAAAGACAAAATGCAGAAAATAATTTAATGACTAAAAATATAAAATATCAAATGTGACTGGAAATTCCTAAACAGAAGCAAACTAAATCAAAAAATAAAGGATAAACTGTATAAACAGATTTTATTACATTACACTCAAAGTGTGTATCCTCAGTAGATAAAGGCTCATTCTTCAAAAAAGAAACAACCAACCAAATATAGAGTTTAAACACAAATTTCACAAGCAGGGTAATACTGAGGGTCAAAAAAAGAAATGTGGGGGCCTGGGAGATAGCTCAGTATCATAAGTGCTTGCCTGGCCAAGTGCAAGGTCCTAGTTCAATCCCTAGTTCCGCAAAAAAAAAAAAAAAAAAAAAGAAATGTGAATCAACAATGCAGTGAAATACCACGGTCACTGAAGTTGGTAAAGACAGTAAGATTCTCATGACTCTTTCAACAATCATACAATGACCCAAGACCAAAAATTATAGTTAGAAGTCCGTGGAAGAGACCACATGACAGATACAAACTAGCAAATATTTACTACCTGGTCCTTAACAAAATTATCTAGCAACCCTTTTGTTCTTTGCAGTACCAGGGATTGAACTCAGGACCCTGCGCTTGCCAGGCAGGCGCTTATTCTACTGAGCCATTTGCCCAGCCACTTCTAGCAATGCTTTTGGTCAAGAACTACTAGTAGAAATGGAAACTAGTCCAAAACTAATAAAAAGAAGTTTAGTGGTATTTATGATACTGATTATGTATATATCTGAACATAACAATGCTATTATTAATATTTATTCTGTAGGTATAATCTTTTTTAATATAGTCATGCATACAGAAATATTTTTCTCGTCCCTTTTCACTTTTTTAAAAATTTAGAGTATAATAATCATTGATAAGACATTAGAAATGGTGTAACCTTATTTAAAAATGTATAAAAAAGTTATAGCAGCAAAAAACTACAAACAGCTTATTCACCAATAAGATCAAATTAATTATAGTACTTGCAGAGGTACAACAGAATATTGTATTGTTTAAAATAATGAAGCAGGTTTACATGTTCCTAAGATCAACTGAAGAAAAAAAAATCAAACATACATAA